CAATTTAAGGTTCACTAAATCTTCAGTCTGCAGAAGCATTTACCCACGGCTCATTTAAATTAAGTTTCAATCAACTAAAAACAATCCAGGCTGGCTCAGAGGGACACCTTTTCCTCACTGGATCAAGCAAACACGGAATGACGTGAACACATCCAATCTCTTATGCAGAAATATTTTTTGGCATCAATTAGACATGGCATCTGTACAGTAAACTGAAGTTCTTCAGCTAAATCCTTTAAATTGGCATCAATTAGACATGGCATATGTACAGTAAACTGAAGTTCTTCAGCTAAACCCTCCAAATATAATGACAATTAGAAGACATTCTGGGTTATATGTTTACATGTACAGGCAGGGGCCAGAATTTGGCGTGGTGGTTAAGATGCTGGATTCCCACATGGCCAACCACAGTTCAAGTCCCAGACCCAGAGGCTTGAAAATAATACTGTGCACATGTGCATGCATGCCCAAGAATCACAAGAGGAAAATGTAGGAGAAGGGACTGCCCCTGGGGAAGGTGACTTCTCACTTTCTCTCTTTATCTCTCTCTCTCTCTCTCTCTCTCTCTCTCTCTCTCTGGAAAGTACACACACCCTATGGAAGGGGGGATTTAAATAAATAAATAACAAATGTGCAGACAGGCAAATGTTTAGAATGACTATTATCTTAAGGAGGAGCTTTGGGGCCAGCAAGCAGCATGGTGGTTAGGAGCACTGGACTCCCACATGGGTGACCGTGGTTGGGTCCTAGACCTGGTGGCTTGCTTTCTCACTGTCTGTCTGTCTGTCTGTCTGTCTCTCTCTCTCTCTGGTCAAATTAAAATAAGAAAATAAAGAAAATAAAATAATTCTTTAAGAAAAAAAAAGGAGACGCTTCATGTAGCATATCGTCAGTTTGGGCATTCTGATGTGTAATAAACCATACTCAAGCACAATTGTTCAGTCTTAGCGTAAGTAAGAGAGAAAGGAGCCCACACGTCAGTTTATTTTACCATCTATTTTTAAATAATTTTATTTAGTTTAGTTTTGTTTTACTTTGTTTTTTTTCTTTAATTTGACCAGAGAGAGACTGGGGGCTTAAGGGGAGGGGAGGAGTGACAAAGCAAGCTACCAGGTCCAGGACTCAAATCGTGGTTGGACATGTGGGAGTCCAGTGCCTCAACCACCACACCACCTGCCAGCCCCCTATTTTTCATTCTAAAAAGCACTATTATTTTCTGAAGTAGTTATAGTGACAAAAATTCATAATGAGATTTTTTCCCATGCAATTTCCATTCAATTTATGAATGCATTAGGGATATATCCTCCCATGCAACTAGCTTTTACACAAAAGAACTAGAAATATGTATTTCACCTCTTTTGGATGTTTTTTTTGTTTGTTTGTTTGTTTGTTTTTTAATAAATCATTCAAGAGATACAAAACAACCCAAACTATGTTGAAGCTATCATCCATAAAACTATCCCCATCAACAGTATTAAAAGAAAAGGAGGAGGGACATACACGGGTAGCTGAAAACTGATTGAAAAGTGATACACTGTTTACTGGACTGATCCAACACTAAACTCTTAAGAATGTCTATGGTTTCATCAAGGCTTCCATCCCCATTCTCTCTCACCTTGTTTCCTGCAACAATCATACAAAGAAGTGAAGGTGTTAGCACAGTCATTACTAGGTGGGAAAATGTAGGGTCAGAGAACTCAAGTAAATTCCCCAAGCCCACACAGCTAGTAGAGCTTCAGCACTGGAACTCAGGTCTTCTGAACTCAAGGCCAGGGGTCTTTTCTGCTGTCACATCACTCAACCATGGACACAAGTTTCACAGCATCAGTGGTCCCCAGTGGTCTCATCCAAAGGCAAAAGGGTCCCTCATGTCTCTGGATTTTCAGGTACACACAAAACAAGCCCCCCATTAAAAACACCCATCTGTAGATACATTACTTTGTATTGTGCACTGACCTACCACCACCATCCCATTTAAAAACACATTATTCGAGACTAGCAAGTATAATGGTTAAGACGCTGGACTCTCATATGACTGACCACAATGTGAGTCCCAGACCCAGTAGCTTGAAACTCATGCCAGGCACATATGCATGCATGCCCAAAATCCCAAGAGGAAAATGGAGGAGAAGGGACTGCAGTGTGCCCATCCCCTCTGGGGGGTGGGTGATTTCTGGCTTTCCCTCTCACGGTCTCTATCTCTCTGTGTCTCTCTGGTGAGCGCACACACCCTAGAGCAAAATTCTCTCTTTGGGGAAAAACAAAACAAAACAAAACAAAACAAAACAAAACAAAACAAAAAATACATTACTAGGGGCCAGAAGGTGCCATCATGGTTAAAGCACTGGACTCCCACATGGCCAACAATGATTCAAGTCTAGGACCTGATGACTTGCTTTTTCACTTTCTCCCTCTCCCTCCCCCTCTCTCTCTCTCTCTCTCTCTCTCTCTCTCTCTCTCTCTGTCTCTCTTTCTTGTGGGCACATGAGCTCTCTAGCAGATTAAAAAGTAATGAGTAAAATTAAATAAAACACACACACATTATGAGGGCCAGAGAGTGGTGCTGAAATAATGCAACTGAATCCACACAGAAAAGGCCCTGCGTTTTTGTAGCAGGATCTCCCTGAGCAGGCCTGGTATACACACATGTCCACGCCCATGATACTGGCTGAGACCAGGGTGGGTTACGGCATGAAGACCCTACAGGGGGTATCTTTCTAGCTCTCTGAAGAAATAAGTTTTGAAACACACACACACACACACACACACGCACACACACTTATTCTTGAAGGGACTTGTGCTTCCAGTACTTGAGCCTGAATTCAGATAGAACAGCATAGGAAGGCTAATATTTGAATGTTGAAAACCTAGAAAAGGACAGTGATGTTACACTGAACAATGCTTAGATTTGAGTGCTATTCAAGGGCTACACCTCCTGGCTAGAAGAAAATTGAAACCAAAGAAGAAGAAATGTTTAAGTAGCTAGAGGCATTTGCTGTAAGTATATGAGATTAAACCAATGCAGCATCTTCCTCTGGAACCCTACAATTCAACCCTAACTGTCCTGACCAGCAGCCTTCTGTGGTCTCTTTCTTTCCACAACAACCAGAGACAAACCCAGCTAAACCAGGCACTCAGGTGCTTTTGCCTTCCTTGCCTGGAGCAGCGAGAGACCATGAGGTGATTCTTCAAAATGTGGATGCTCTCCTTTACAGTATCTTTGGATCCTTGCATCCTCAGACAACCTGAGAACGAGAGACTACACTCTTTGTAGAGAAGAGATTCAATAGCGCCTTTGAGAAGCATACTTCTTAGAGCCTCAGAACACTGTTCACAATTGGCTACAAGGAGCATCTGCCCAAATGCCCTCTATTATTAACCTTTACACAGCAATACCCCCTGCAAGGATGCTGTCCCTGATGGGTTAGCACTATGTTACAGGCAAACCACACCGTATCAAGTTCTGAGCAGGAGTTACTGGAGGTAGGGAAGTCATGTCATTTGACCTGGGCAATTCTAAGTTCAAGAAAATGCTGACACACTTTTGCCAAGTGTAATCTAAGAAGAATTGAAAAACTATGATTTAATCTACTGTGCCTACAACCCTGAGCATTTCTCATCTAGTAGTTTGACTTCAATAACCAGAAGGTTATTCATGTCTCCCATTATTCCTTGATCACAGCCAAATCATAAAACATTCGGGACTAGCAGTTAGCATAATGGCTATGTTGCTGAATTCCCCTGTAGTCGACCGCTGTTCGAGTCCCGGACCCAGTGGTTTAAACTCATGCCGAGCGCATGTGCGTGCGTGCCCAAGATTCCAAGAGGAGAACGGAGGAAAGGGGATTGCAGCATGGCTATCCCCCTAGGGGGTGATTTCTCGCTTTCTATCTCTCTGTCTCTCTCTTTCTGGTGAGCGCACACGCCCTATAGCAAAAACCTCTCCAAAAAAAAAAAAAAAAATGCAGGCATTCCTTTCTACAAAATTAAAGCCACTCTGCTTCACCCCTCTGTTTCCTTCAGGGATTGAAGGCATTTTTCCACAAGGCAAGTCACTAGAATTATTATGCCCAAGTTTTAACAGTTCATCCAACAGTATTTTAAAGTCTAAACTACCGGGTTGTCAGGAAACTTGTGACACATTTTTGCATAGAAAAACATATCATGACTTTCCCAACGACTGAACAAATAAGACAAATTACTAAATTTTACTTACTATGCTGAGTGAATCACCAGCAGAAAATCTGGACCTTTCCAATCCACATAGCAATGGTTCAAGCTCTATGCAAAGAACATCTCAGAATGCATATCTTTTTCTGAGAGTAGGACTTCTTTATTTCTGATTAGCTCCAGACTTGTAACGCTTGGGAAAAGGAGCTTCAGAAGACATTTTCACTTAATCCTTAACATCACAATGCATACAGGGAAATTGTTCCAGTATTCTCAAATCTGTATGCATCATTGATATGTTCTTCTACAACACTGACATGCATGCATACGAACTGGAGAAACACTGCAGGAAGCTGGGTTCCTCAGTTTAGAAGAGAAGTAGAGCCCATTATGCAAAACAATCAGGCCTCAAGATTGGAGGATCCTGGTTGCTGTTTTCAGAAAGCTTTAAACACTCTTGATGTTTTATTGCCAAGTAGGGCCCCCTACTTCTCAGTCTCCTCCGGCCCTCTTACAGAATGTTTTTCATTTGTCGGTATTAGGTTTAAGTTAATTGTGTTGGTTCTGCCTTATGGCACATCCTTAAACGGGAATTTCTTCCTAGCTCTTGATGTGCAGGCAAGATAGAGTGATTAATAACCTCCGTCAGATGAAGAGGAATCTCGGATGGTCAGCAGGGTTCTGTAGAATGCCCTGCTGGGGGCACTGGATACTGTCATCACCCTGACTCAGCCCTTCCTGCAGGAAAGCTGCAGGAAATGGGTGGACTGCATCTCCAACTGCGCCTTGGCAACATAGGCCCCTTCAGGTGACCCCCGTGCCCCCACCCACCCCGTGGACAGTACCATTTTGTCCACTGAGCAGGGCCACTGTGAACATGGCAACTTACGTTTGGTGCACCTCTGGGAGCCAGGGGCTTTACTCCAGCCAAGGCAGCACTGCCCTCCACACACATTGACCCTGAAACAAACAAGACCCCTGAGTCCAGCAGCAGTGGCACTCCCAAGAGCCCCTGCTTCCAAGAGGTCCCTGCAAGGCCAGTGCCTGGCTTCCACATTCCTCTGGATTCAAATGATTCCCACGGGGCACCCAGGATGCCCACCCCAAAGCTGCCCAAGGACCAGAAGAACCATATATCAGGTAATGGGGGTGGAGGGAGCTACACACCAGGGGAAAATGAAGTCTAACTAAATGATGTTCTTTTTGTTCTTTTTTTTTTTTTTCTTGGAGAGGTTTTTGCTATAGGGCGCATGTGCTCGCCAGAAAGACAGAGAGATAGAAAGTGAGTAATCACCCCCCAGGGGGGATGGCCACACGGCAATCCCTTCTCCTCCATTCTTCTCTTGGGATCTTGGGCACGCACGCAAACGCGCCCTGTGTGAGTTTAAGCCACCGGATTCGGGACTCGAACTGCAGTCGGCTACATGAGAGTTCAGCGACATAGTCATTACGACTGCTGATCCCGCTAAATGATTTTCTTACCCCCAAATTACAATAGAACTGAAGTCCCTTTGTGTATTATCAGGGCCCATATTTGAAACTGAGTTTCAGAAAAGTGTCCAACAAGAGCCAGGTCATGTCACCTGGAACCCACCCCCAAGAAAAAAAAAGAGCCAAGTAAATGAAACAGCCCCCCACACACACACCTGAATCTGTGATCAGTGGGGAAGAGAGGGATGCAGGGAGGATAGTTCTGAGTGCCCAGAGTCTGAAACGTTCCAGACCAAACTCCTGTCCACGCTAGAACACCTGGTCATAGGAGAGGGGCTCCTCAGGTGCAGAGAAGCTCAAGCCCACAACTCCGAGATGTTCCAAAGTTCTAGGCCACAGAGCAGGAGCTGCATCTGTACAGTTAGCCCGCCCTCGAGACCTGTTTTTCCTTAGCTAGACCAAAATTAAAACTGAGTTGCAAAGAGAAGTTTCATTGATGCTGAGGGGCTCTGCTGCAGTGACTTCATGTTGACGCCCAAGTAGGAGCAGCTCGGTCTGGCGCAGGAGGTTCCGCCCCGGGCAGAAATGCCTTTTGTGTTTACCCGCAGCTCGGAAACAATGCATGCCGAGCTGAACGTCAGTAAAAGTTTCTGGGCTTCCCGCACTCCTCTCTTCCCCGGGCTCTCCCAGCAGGCA